TGGAAGTCAGCGGAAACGTTTTACAAATTTTACAATAAACCAGTTGAATCTAGTACTAGCATCACGGATGTGGTTTTGAAGATTTGAAACCATATCTACCTATATATACATATATACATATACAGTTGTTCAAGTTCGAGTAATTCTTTCGTAGAAATTAATAAATCAATACTTTGTGTTTACACCATCTTGTATCGTTGGTCTATAAGACATATTTATACACTCTTAATGTGTGCCAGTAATGTTTGATGCATCAACAGCTTTAAAGTCTCATGGGATCACCTGACTTCCTGTCATGTGATAGAATTGGAAAATTAAACGAGACTTACCTGTAAGTTGAAGTTTGATTGAGATTATATCACATGACATTGGAAGGAAGGAGATCACATGCCCGCCTCTTCCCGCCCTTGTCTATTTATACATTATATCAGCTGGGGTATATAAATGTATATATTTCKGGATTTTATGTTGATGCAACAAACATCGTTTTAAAGAATGACTTGCGCAAGCGCTGTGCTATCTCATGTGATCTCCTTCCTTCCAATGTCATGTGATAGAATTTCAATCAAACTTCAACTTACAGGCAAGTCTCGTTTAATTTTCCAAATATTAGTCATCATAAGGAAAAGTAAACTAGGTAAGAAAACCACAAAAAAAGACTAAGAAAATTGTAAAAAATACTATAAATATATATACTGAATGAAACTAATTAAATATTAAAAAGATGTGTCTTCAACTTTGACTTTAAAATGTCAACGTTTTGCGAGCTCTTTAGATCTTCTGTCAAAGAGTTCCAAATTTTCGGACCTGCTACAGCAAAAGCTCGATCCACAAAGGTAACTGATCGGGATGCAGGTACTGCACAAAGAGACTTGTGTGACGATCGCAAGTTACGAGTAGGCTTGTAGGCTTGTTCAATCACATGTAGATTTGAACATCGCTGGAAATTCAGCACAACCATCTCAGTCTGGACTTAATCAGTCAAAACGCCGACCAAAACGCCACTTTAAACGGTCTCTTCCTTAGGATTCTTATTCAAACTAAAAACTTTGTTGGTAGAATCTAGTTTTATGCCCCCTTTTTAATGGTTTTTGACTTGATTTTTTTAGGTTTGTCGTTCTTTCGGTTGAATCACCTTTTTTATTTTTATTTTTTGAAGATTTATCATTTAATTCAGCGGAATCCAAGGTAAACCTTGCAAAATAATTATTGTTTTAAGCTCAGCGATCGATGATATTCTTTTGTACATGAGGTATGATAAACGGATAATCGTATGGTTTCTCGTAAAATTAAGGTTTAATTTCACTTGTGTTTTCAAAGTTTTGAAATTGCCCTTGTTGCTTCGCGACTCGGGCAATTTTAAAACGTTTAAAACACTCGTGAAATTAATCCTTAATTTTACTCTGCGATTACATATACTAATTGTGTTTTATTTTTTGTATTAAACAAATATGCGAAAACAGAAGGAAGATTTTGTCCAGTCACTGATTAAACGATATCAGCAGAATCACTTTCAATCATATGGCCCTTGAAATCAACATTATCTGGCTTCAACAGAAACTTTCAAAACTGACCGCCGATCACCCTTAAAAGTTGAACGGAGGGAATACCCCCTTAATTCAAAGTTACTTAATTCACTTTTAATTCATTTCTAACGCAAATGGATAATTAAATTTAGGAGCTGTTTAAGAAACCTTAAAGTCATATATATATAATTACAGTTGGCGTTTCTTTCTGTAAATCCGCAGCGGTCATCCTGTCATCGAATGTGGTTTTCGCCGGTGAACGTGAGGGTAAACTTATCTAGTAATAAATAGAGCAAATAAGATGATAGATTAAAATGTGGATTATTCAATCTAAGAGATTTGAATTCATTTATCATCGAAATGTTAACCATAGTAGCTGTAATAATTCGTTCATTATAAATCGTCACAGTAAAAAAA